TTTCTCCTTCCAGTCAGGTATTTCAGATTATAGTTAGACACTGGAATTGTGGTAGGAGGCCCTGGAGCTGAGATTACCTTAGCCCAAGGAGCTTTCAAAGAACATGCTTTTGATGATATGAAAAGCTTGGCTGGGAAAACTGGTTGAGCTTAATTCAAAATCAAGCTCATGTGAAGCATGCAGATACTGTATTTAGTTTGAATGTTGCATTTTCTTTTTCTCCAAAATAAGGTGGAGTGACATCCTTCAGTTACAGCAGACTGAATAGCAGATTTGAATTTTTTCACTGTATGCTGCTGTGAATGTGCAGTTTTCTTTAATATTTCAAAAGCATAAAACCAAATAATATAATAAAAAAGGCTTAGAGTTTGTAAAGTTTATGATGTTTCAGGGTTGAGAATGAAAAGTTATTTCAAAGACTAAAGGTTTAAAACTCTTCCAGAAAAAAAGATCATTCTATTGCACATAGAATCTGTAGCCAGATACTGATAAAATGCAGATATCATTCAAGAATAGTAAGACTTGCAATAGTCATGAAATATTTCTCTTTTTTTTGGTTTGTTTATGGATATTTTCCACTTATGTCCATTACTTTGACTTTATTTTTGAGCGTCTTGGAGAACTATTATTTGTTTATTAAAATACCGTTTATAAGGAACGGCTCTTTTAAGGTGAATCAGTGAAGCTGACCAGAACGTGAACAGCATGTGGACAATAGATAATACCTGACTAAAGAAAAAAATAAGACTGTTAGGACTGAACTTTAAGAGCTGATACAATGGACTGTGATAGTAGTGTGTAATACCCACGCATCTTGCAGTTAGGRAAGTAACACCCAGAACTACTAGTTCTGTTACTTCTGAGTGATACAGTACATGGTTAATTTGCCAAACTGTAGCAATAATCACTTACTACCTGGTACCTCCTGAGCTTTCAGTGCTGCTGAGAAAAGCTCACCCTTTGCCGATAGCAGATTGGGTTGTGGAACTGATTTTTATGGAAAGTAACTTTTTTTTTTTCTCTCCCTCCCCAACTGAATCAGATTCCTGGCTTAAGTTCAGCACACAAACACTTCAATATTTACTTATTAGGAGAGAGCAAATCAAGACAGCAAACAGTAGTTAGGCTAAATGGAGAGCAGGGTTGTCTTACTGACCACTGTGGGCTTGAAATACCGATCCAACACTCGGGCTTAGACTGCTGTAGTTCCGCCCTTGCTCTGGTAGTGGTACTAGTCATTACTCAATCACGTTATGACATAGCTTAAGCAGATGATCAGATTGAATTGCTGTATTTAACTCCATTAGCTTTGAATTAATGAATTCCATCTGCCTAAAACGAATGGTAGAAAATGTGCCCCTTGTTATTTAGTATTGAAGAATGACACTCTTTAGGATGTGTCTGGATAAACAGACTGCCTCCAATGATACCTGAATTTACCATCTTTTGGCTAAAATATATAAAAGATTCAGTTGTTACAATATCTGTCCTATAAAAAATATGCTAATAGCTCTTTGATTTTGGAATAAGAGTTTTTTTGGGGGGGATGGAGAATAGGGAATTGACCTATTTTAAGTTTTTCAGTGAGTCTTGGTGTTCTCAGATGGAATAATTTATAGTATTTTGGTTTTCAGTCTTTTTTTTTTTAAGAGGTGGATCTTGGAAATGTTTTCTGTGCATCTCAGTAAAGCATTTGAATATGACAAATGAAGAGTTTAGGTGTTGATGAATGATTCCTAAGGAGCTTTTTTTCCAGAATATTTGTTTCTTGGCTTTGTTTCCTGTGACAGAAACAATCCCTCTGGAAAGCAGTTGCAAAATGTTCTATGRATAGTTTCCAGCAAAACTTGAAAAACTTCTAAGATGTACAGAAATTCCTTGGTGTCCTTTCTGAGACCTCTCATGGAAAGATATTTTGATAAAATACTATACTGCTAGACCAGGAGCGCCAGTAAGACAGTTTGTTGTTGTTGTTGTGCTCTGAAAGATGCTCGCTTCTCTTTAAATCTAAGATATAAATAAGCAAGTATTGAATACTTGAGGACTTGGTTCGGTCTTTGTGTTCAGTATTAATTAGGTGAAATTAGTGGACACTGAAATTTATAAAGGTTAAAAAGGGAACACTTTATATATAGAATGATGTCTTTTTAAATAAAACAGGTATTTAAATAGGATTTTGGAAAGAAAGGCATAACTCTTTCAGATGTATGGTGACGTCTGAGTTGTTTTACAATGGGATTGAAAAAATTCTAGGCATTAGATTTCTAATTGAGTTTTTGAAGTAAACTGACTGTAAATGTATGGTGTTCTTAAGCCCGAAAGTTACTGAACTGGATTTAAATCAAGCCACTAAACTGTCACATATGTGAAGGACCTGTAACCAGATTTTGTTGCAGTTCTAAAACTTCTGGCAGCTGCTGTCTGAGAAGTGAGACCTCACTCAAGGAAAGGAGGAAACTTAAAGGTGCTAAAACTTCACTAGGGTCTTTTTAAACCGTGTTTTTCTCCTGTGGCGTGGGAGAGAGAACTCCTAAGGCTAATGGTTTTCCTTGCTTCCTGTGTCTTGATTAGAGTGCTTGAGTTGCAGGCATTCTGCTTGAGCAGTAGACACTTTAATTTCTTTAGCCCATGCGCATACTTCCCCTTATGTCAGATCAGAATCTAAAGTCCTTACTGCCCCAGTTCTGTAGGGGAGTGTAGGCTATAATCCTGTAATCCTGTAAATCAGATGAGGTGTGGTTGGAGAAAGGCGAAAGCTCAGCAGCTGAGATAGAGAATCAGAATGAAAGGAGGCTGTTACTGCAGGGAAGTGGTCAGTCTCACTGTAGATTGTGCTGTGTTGGAAAAAATAAAGATTGCAGCTGCGTTACGTGAAAACAGTCAGTATTCTCATTTCTTCGATAAGCTGGAGAAGATACCACTGCATTGATGTGCCTTTTTCCTTTCTTATAGCTTTCCGAAACTTGCCAAAATCACCAGGAAAGGTTTAATGTTTAGTTTTGCAGGTTGGATTCCATAATGGATACATTCTTTTTTACTCATGGTTTATAAAGGAAGGTTTATTGTTTTAACAGCGCATGTGAGGGATCACTTATTTTGAAGGAAATTTTGAATAACTTTTGCATGAGGATAAGAATCTAGGACTTCGCAGGAAAATACCCTCAGCTAATGCAAATGTGAATTAATTTTGAGTTTGAACCTGTGACATTCTAACATTTAGTGTGCTCCAAGGCTAGTATTCAGTGTTGCAGGGTTTTGAAGCCATTGCTATATTGGCTTCAGGCATGGAAAATAGGCTAAACAACTACCTCTGCCTAAATACCTCTGTAAATGCATTAACRTTATGGAAAAACTTCACTTGTTTATCTCATCTTACTGCATACCTACAGGAAAGAAGCTGAATACCTACATTAGGAAGAAAGTTTCTGCTGATAGGTGCTGGTGCTTCCATGGAGAGGTTACAAGCTATTAATTTATAGCAGCAGAGATAGCCAGTACATTTCAATAGCAAATACCATGTGTACTTTGGAGACTTGTAGATTTTAATCTAGATTTAGATAATAAATCCTTATAGAAAAGCAGTAGGTATACTTAATAGGAAATTTGAATAGCAAATAGATTGCAGCTGGAACTGGTGCCATTAAGGTGAAAAGGTGTGCTACTGACTTGATAGGTAAATTCGAGCAACAGAATTGTTGAAAACCTTCTTTTCAACTCCCCTCCAAGAAAAAAAAAAAAGGGTGCTTCAGCTTTCCCATAAAGTCCTTTCATATGTCAGATGGGGTATTTAAGGAAAAAGCCTAGGAATGTACAAACTGCACTGTTTATACACATGCATGCACAGACACACATGGAGGAGAAACTAAAATTGCATGTGCATCAAGTCAGCGGTTTTCTGAAGTAATTGTAGTATGATAATCTTTCTTTGTAAACAAAGATGACCCTTTTAATACCTATTTTCATGGAAGCTATATTGTCCTTTTGTGGGAGGAATTAAAATGAGACTGCATTAAATCTGTCAAAGTATTAATTAGACTTTTTTCCCCCATTGATTAAGCAAAGGATATCTACTATAGATGTTGAAAATGCATCAGACTTCCTGTGCCATACTCAGGGCTGCCTGAAGCAGGTTACTTGGGATATGAGTGAGAATTGCACTGCAAAGTGTTAAGAAGAGGGCATCAATACTGGTCAGCTTCACTGGTGACTTGCGGGCTTCCTGCTTGGAGGAGGAATACTGATAGGCAGAAAAATGTCCGAGATTGTGTTTCCCTCTCCTAGGAAGAGGAAGCTGCGAAAGAGGAAGCTGCGAAAGATCTTGGTTTTTTTTATGCTTTTTGAAGAGTAAAGGACTCGCAGATTTTTGTTGTTAGTTGTGAAAGTAATCTGTTCATTTTAATAGAATTTTAACATTATAGGAATTCAGTTTAAAAAAAATCCATCCATGTTTGTTTGAAGATCTCTCTTTGAAGTATTGTTTTCGTAGGTATTTTGAAATTAGTGTTAAATGTAAGAGCTTTGATTGTATAATTACTTGTGCAAATACAGTTAAAGTGGTCCTGCCTTCTGATTCTGTTGTCAGGTGGCATTGATTCTTTACAGCCTACACAATTGGGAAGCCAGAAGGCCCCATTTACCAAGCCTGGAGTTGGAACAGCTGCTTCTCCAGCTGCTGTCTCATCAGTGAAGGCACCTGCTCCAGGCCATGCAGCAGAGTCAAAGTCTGCACCCCCGGCTACCCAGGCACCAGAGTCAGCTCTTCAGGAAGGTACTAAAAGGGAATGGGGAAGTTGCGATGCAGAAGTCTGTATTGGTATTCTTGAGGCTTTACAGCACTTCTGCACTTGTCTGAAGTACATCTTTTCTATCTTTTCAGCTTGCCTTAGTGTTCCTTGTTTGAACCTCCTCAGTTCTTTTCTGTCTTAGCTCTTCTATTTGGTTTCCTTGGCCTGTTTGTCCTTAGATTGTCTGTTGTGTTGGCACTCTAACATGCCTTTCGCTAAAAACCCTTCTTTTAGTTCCCTTAGTTTCTAAAAAGCTTGTTATTGAAACTTCTAAGAAGATGCTCTTGATATCTATGTATTGCAAGTTGGAGGTAGACTAGCAGTTTGCTTGTGCTAGTGTTTGTTAAGGGAACTAGCCTTGAATACTAAATTCAAACTGATGGAGTTAAGGTCTTGTTTGTTGTTCTAAGCTCGCGTAGAAGTACTCCTTTGGTTCTGAGCAGAATTTGCTTGTACTGTAGAGGTTCTGGTGAGAGGCTTGTCTTGCTTAGTCTTCCAAAGAAATAGCATAACTGTGTTTTAAATGACAAAAAGGATTCTCGTTGTTTAACTGTACCTGCCRTAATGTGCAAATACCTATGTGTTTTTGCAGTTACTGCTCTATAATGTGTGGACATTTGATACCTTAAACACGAATCATCACAGTTCCTGGGGAACCCTTCACTGAATTTTTAGCTGTTGTTAGCTGCAAGTGTTGTAGTGCAATGTAGTTCGATTATTCCCCTTTAAGACCAGGAATATACGTATGTCAGGAGTCTATAGATAAATTGTCAGAAATCTGYGTGGATCTAATTCTGTTTACATTAATGAATAGCAAGTCCATATCATGTCGTCATGTTTCTTTCCCCTCACAACAATGGAGCTCTGTCATGTTCTTCGCTAACTCTCCTAGCTCTGAGAGAAGCTATGTTCCCTTCAGCCATGGTCTGACATGGAGCAGAGAATGGAGATTTAGCAGATGCATCTCAGAGTCATAGTAAAAGATGAGAGTATCTTGTCACTTGAGTTGGTGCTGCATTTGATCAGAGCACCGAAACAAGYGCTTCGTGCCTTGGGGGCATTTGTGGTGTTTCTGCGTCATGATGGTTATTGTATCCCAGGCTCAGGCCAGCTAAGCCTCCTCTGGGAATGCCTGGGCACCTGAGCAAGTGGAGTACTKCCAGTGTCTTCCTGCACCAAGCTCTGCATGACAGTTGCAGCTTCCCCAAGAAACTGTGATGTTGTCTTGCTCTTTGTTGCCTTTTTACTTTCATTGTTTGAATAGATGCCCTTCATCCTGAGCCTGTTAATTGCTTCAAGTGGAATTGAACTTCCTGGAGTCAGGTTTTTTTGTTTGCTTTTTTTTTTTTTTTTTTTTTTTATTAAGGAACTAACAATATTTTAGCAATTTTCTAAATATAGGCTATAGCATAGTCAAAATGGATTATTACTCCTTATGATGCTCCTCTGTAGTACTTAATAGTATTAAAATAAAGAGTTCTAGTCTAATGGTGACACAGTGTTTCTACTGGAAAAAAATCCCAAATTGTTACTTTGAGTTTCAAAGAGGTTATTTTCTTCTTACAACAGTCTCTTGTATTGCTAGGTTGGAAGCAGTGGGCACTTGCTTCCTTTTGGGATGTCTTTGTAAGACTGCAAGTTATATATAGAAATCCTTTCTAGATCTATCCTGTGACAAGAGAAATTTAAGATTTCGTGCTTCAATTTAACTAGTAATCTTGTATATTAATTATAAGCTGTGCTTTGCATTTAAAAATGGTGTGTTTATTGCTGTTGGATATTGCTTCAATTTGTTTAGGGTATTGTAAAAATACAAACACACACAGATTAGTAGTTGTCAGCAGGCATTAGAAGTGGACCGTATATTCGAGTGTTTAAATATGTGTCTATGAGTCTCAGTTTACTCACTGGTTTTAAAATAATACTAACCAAGTTTTCAAGTTTATTTACCTTACTCAATTTTATTGAGTATTTGCACTCTTACAAATTGGAACAACAGTATATTTCATTACTTTCTACCCAAGTTTAGAATTACGGAGAAGTGACTATTTTCAACTTCAAAAGGTACAGGTTTGCCAAAAAGAGTTTTAATATAAACATTTCATAACCCAGTTTAAATTTATTCAGGAAGGAAAGCTTGTTTATGTGTATGAATGTATGTGTACGTGTGTGTGTATTCATATGTAGACACATGGCTTTATCAAAGTACTTTGTAACAAATATATACATATAAATGTGCATATATACCACTTTCTGCTAATTCTATGTACTTCTAATACTTAATCCACCTAGCCCACTAAAAACTACATTTGGTGTACTGTTCAAGTATCATGTCTAGTTCCCTAGGTAGTCTAGTAGTTTAGGACTCTAGGTTTAATTATTTGCATGTTGGGATTTTCTCTGGAATGCCTAAATTCTCTCACTTTTAATGCAGTAATGCAGTGAGTTTTGTTTCTCATCTTTGCTGTCTGTCTGACTCTTATGTTTGTGCTTTCCACTTCACAGGCATGCAGTATGGTGGATATGTTAATAACCAAGCTAGCTCTGCACCAGCTCCCTTGTCATCAAGTTCAGATGATGAGGAAGAGGATGAGGAGGATGAGGAAGCAGGTTGGCTTTAGCTTTACACCAGTATCTTGTTCTTTTTCTTCCGAAGTTTTGTTCCGCATTTCAATCCCCTGAAATTGTTATTTTTTTTTTAAAGTCAAAAAGTCACTATGACTCTTCATGTGTAAGGTTAACTGGAAAATTCCCAGCTATGCTGGGATTGCAAAAAGACATTTGTTAGTGGTCAGAAAGCAATCTTTTTGGTCACATGAATGTCAGACACTTTATGTATCTAATAACGCAATATTCACAGCTTGTAAGGCTCTCTGTGTTTTTGGATATGCAATAGGTTTTGAACTCTTAACTGAAAATGTCTGGCTGTTGGAACTTAAACTAATTACTTATGTTCTACAATGACGCAATTACATGCCATTTCTATTTTCTTGTTTCTTATCCTCTGTTCAGGGACATTTGCAATTCAGATAGTGAAGTAAGTATGGGAAGGCCATTAATGTACTTTTTAAAGCAGTAAATTAATCTGTACTGCTTTTGTTTTCATTTCCTAGGGCATGTCTATATAGTTCAGGCACATCAGATCAGTTTTAGCTTGCTTGCTTTGTGGTAATCTTGAAAAGTTTATTTACATCTTAAAATGCTTTATTTTATGAAGACAAAAAGCTGCTTATGTTCTTGACTGCAAGGATTCCGTCTGTACTTTCAGGCTTGCTGGTTTTTGAAATTAGTTCCATGTTTCTACTACTGAAATAGAGACTTTTTTTCTTCCGAAATTAAAGTGTCTTCACAACCTATGTATGATATAGTAATGTAAAAAGCCTTCTGAAATTAAACGTTAAGCTTTAGTTTTGTTACTACACAGAGGTAAATACTGTGATAGTACACTACCTACGTTGTACTGATGCTTCACTTCAGCTTATGTGTGTTGCCTTTGGGTATTTATTTGTGAGGAGAACAATTTTATAATTGTTCCTTCAAGTTATTTTTATTATATAACTTGTGTGAAAAATCGGTCCCTTGTAATTCTGAATTTTATTAAAATAATAGACAATCGTAAAACAAATACTATTAAAATAACTTCTCTCCTGATGCAGAGTAATGGCATATGTCTAATTAGGTTCTAGTAACCAGGAAACTGCCCAGCTTTGGAATTTAAACTTTAAATTTTGGTGTGGTTGCGATGAAGCTGCTGTTTCAGTCCTTTGTAGTTGTCTTCCTAAAGCACAGCCAGGATAAAATAGCCAGAGAGCAGATCTTATTGCAGCACTTCCCACAGAATTTCCCATAGACAAAGGTCTCTGTTTAAACRTGTTCCAAGTCTTCTGATAAAGAATATGTCAGAATGCTTATCAACCAAAACATATGTTTCCTTACTTTATTTTCTAGTCACAGGGACAAGTTTCCATACATTTTGCATCTTTATCTGTCAACTTCTCTAATTCTGCTAAAGCCTGTATCCTTTGAGCTATCATCCTACTTATCCTTTCACTCTTTTGTGTAGGATAAAAGTACTCAGGTTGAATACATAGGCTACCTGGCTACTTGACTAATAAACTTTGTGATTTATTCTCTTGTCACCAGGAGTTTATATAAATTCTAATATATGTCTTTTATAACACTTTCGCCAATTTAAATCTTGTAGTAACTGTGTTTGAAAAGAGGGTTTAAAACTGCATAAAGGCAGAAGTTGCATTTAAATAGTTCTATTTAATCTTGAAAGCATGTCATGAGCACTGTAATTGTCTAATTGTTTCCTTTTCTCCCTTGTTGTTGCTATGTTCTCTGGTGTGGTAGCTAAGAGTGCTAAATTCTGACATCTGTTGTGACTTAAATTTAGCATAAGACAATTCTTGTTCAATTTTGTGCAAGGTTTTGTATTTTCACAGAATGAGAGTCTAAGTTTTCTTGACACACTGGCAAGCTTAGAGTTTGGAGCTACTGTTGCGTTGCAGGACACAGCACAGCTAGTTGTCTGTCTTATTTTGTAGGGGTGACTTTTCTGTTTCTTAGTTGATTGTTTTTGAGCATATTATCTTTATAGTAATCTATACACTTGTGATATTGCCATGGATATAAATGATGCTTTCCGAATTTCAGCAATGTTGTGTTTCCATACATAAGAATCCTCCCTTGAAAAAGTTTTGATTTCACCAAGTGATGRATGATTTTCATTGATCCTTCTGAGTAATGCAGTCTCAGTGAACTTGTCTTGCTTCTGCTCTGCCAGTCGCATGAAAAAAAATACACATTTTTTTCCTCCCTAAAAGCTTCTATTTACTAATTCTTTTGTGTTGCACTTTGTAGCATTTTAAGGAGAAAGACATGTAATCTCTTTCTTTCCCCGGTCCTTTTTTTTTTTTTGTAAATGTACATAAAAAGCCACTAGTAGAATTGTTTTTAAATAAGTATGTCTGTCATCTTTTTCATTCAGAATAGAGGCTGAGGGTTGCACAAAAATTAAGTGCTAGCAGCGTGTTCAGTACTGAAAAAGCTTTTCCATACCTACATAGTTGTGACTTTTGGCTGCATCAGAGTTCGGCTTATTCTGACTGCTCTTAATTAGAGTAGCTTGGAGAGAAAGAAAAAAAAATGTCAGGACAAAATTTACCCAATGCAGCTTTTCCATCTTAAGAAAAACTGATCCCAAAGACAATGAGAGTCTTTTTTGTTATTTGAAGTTCCGAAAGAAGTTGTGGGAGATTTTTTGAAAAATATTGGATGTTGCTTCATTTTACATAATCTGCGAAGTTTTCATAGGAAAATATTAATGGCTTCAAGAAAACTCATTGTTTTTTGTCTTTATCCCTTTGGTCTCTTTTGGTTTTCTTTTTTTTTTTTTTTGGTTTTTTTTGGTTTTGAAAGGTAATATAATTACTTATTTCTTCCTCCTTCTCACTTGCCATGCTAATAGCTTTATAGTCTTACAACAGAATTGTGTGTGTGCATTCTGTGTTTCTGTGGTTCTAACTGTTTTCCCCGCTTCTTGACTTCTTAACTCTTTTCCCCCCTCTCTTTCCTGAGAGCTTCTTATGAAACATTTAGAAAAAAAAAAAAAAATTCAGCCTCAGATTCCTCAAAGAATGCTATTTCAGAAGCACCTCTTGTTCTTTTTTGCCCTTAGCAATTGATAGTTCCTCTACTACTAGCAGTGCCTCTCCTGTTCTGAACAATTATGATGCCCTGGAAGGAGGTGGCTATCCAGGTGAGCCATTTGGTAGTGTATGTTAACTTTTGAATTGTGTGAGACTTAAATATTCATTGTATATGTTTTTATATTTTTTTTATTGCTTTAGCACAGAAATTGAAGTAATTATTAAGTAAATCTTTATTGCATTGTAATTCATGTTTTCCATTGTAATGCTGAGAGTCACAGTGGGGGAGTGCGCTTTGCGAAATGGAGTAGCTTTCTCTAGGTTGTGATACATATCTGATGGTGTTGACATTAGTAGCTGATAATAATAAATATGCACTATAAGGTGCTTGAGAAACCAAAGATGTTTTTATGGTTGTTTTGAGGTCATTTTCTTACGTATATCAACATGAAAATGTGAAAAAAGACTGCTGTTCTGTTTTATCTCTAGAGATATCAAGAATGTTGGGCTTTGTTCTCAGTTATCTTATTCTAAGACTTTCTCAGTCTTTAAATATGTAGAGTTGTAGTGGAAGTAGTTAGGAAAGATGCTATTTAAATAGGTTAGCCAGTATTTTTGAAAAATAATTAAGTAACTTTTGAGGCTACCTGTCTGACTCTTTTGGAATGCCCTGTTATCTCAGAGTGTCACAATAGCTGGGCCAGGTATTTTGGAGGGGCTTGTGTGTAAAATACCCATGACGTAAAAAAGTTGACACAGTAACTATCCAGATTAGGTCCAGCTCATGTGATAAGGATGGAAGAGGTGTAGTTGCAGGATTATGGGTTCTGATTTCTTAGCTCAGGAGTATCCATTTGATTTAGCTAAAAGTCTATTCTAAAAATAATTTACTCTTTAAAAAATAAAAGGGTCAAGTTGTGGATATTATCTAGCTGATTTAGAAGTAGTTTGAGTTTTCAGTGGTTTTCTTGGTAAAACTCAACAAGTGGCAAGAAAACAAGTTTCATTTGTTTCTGAAATTTAGGTCATGCTTGCAGGCATTAAATTCTAAAGAAGTGCTTTCATCTCTGCACAACTGTTCATGTGCTCTGTGAGTTGAGATCTGTGTGTTACTTTGAACTTAACTTTTTAAAGCAGGGAAGAAACTAAGCATGCTTTAAAAATATATTTTTATAAAATAGGTTTTTGAAGTTTCTGTGAGTATATAAGCAAGTCTCTAGTATGTATGTATGTCTCCTTGTATGTATATGACATTAACAACATGAGTTGCAGAAACTCTTCTTGCTAATAGCTTGTAATTTTCTGMTTGGTCAATACAAATAAATCAATAATGGGGGAAAAAATTACAAATTTAAGTATTGCTTTCATTAAGCATTTGGAAGTTTCCACTTAAACTGAGACAGATAGTATATTTCATACTTGTGGGATTTTTGTCCTTTCAGAGAGCCGCTCTGTGACCAGCAGCCCAGTCCCTGCTCCTTCGGTTTCCCAAACATCAAAAACATCCAAGCCCTTTGGTTATGGATATCCGGCACTGCAGCCTGGCTACCAAAATGCAACACCACCTGCTCCTGTGCAACCCAGCAATCCAGGCCATCATCCTGGCTTTCAGCACTATCCACAGGTTCTTATCATACTTGTTTTCCTACATATTTTCATATTTTATTTTTTATAATTTTTGCTCTGGTGAATGTTGATTATAATATTGGCGTCAAATGTTGGGATGCTAACTGAGACTCCTAATGAGAAGGATTCTTGAATGAAAAATTTAAGGATAGATCTGCAAACAGACTTAACGAGTTAGCCTAACCGGTTCTTATTTGGAGCAACACTTTAAGGTGTATTATTTATAGGTTCTCTATTTTAATGATAGAAACCATAAAGAAGCCTAATCAAGTCTTTGTTTACAAGATGAATATTTGATTAGGGAGCAATATCCTGCTTTATGATCTCAAGCAATAAACTGTGTCACAACAAGAGCACTGTACAGGCTCCAGAGGCAAGAACTGGGCAGCCCCTGTGCTGGCCAAGTGGTGGAGCAGCCCGCCCTTCTCCTGGTCTGTCTCGGACAGTGCCAAACACCCAAGGAGTTGTGGACAGGCACCTGGCTCTGGTCATGTGTGTGTGAACTGAGGGGAAATGTGAAAGTTGAGGCAGTGCAGAAAAATCCACGTGGGGATGTAGAAAAGCAGCCCTGCTGATCTGCAAATCCCCCTTTCTGAAATAAGGGCCAGCGGCAAATGTGTTAAAACTGCTGCTCTAGGTGATCAGCAATCGTTATTGTGCTCAGTGTAGCACTGAGTCAGCATGTAATACCCAGGAGTTACTACTGCAAGATGTGGGACAGGAAATGCTTCAGTTACTTCTTTGCACTCAAAGAAATAAGTGTGTTCAACATAGTGAGTTGTTTGTTTGTTTCTTTTTATATTCAGATGCAAATTTTACCAAGTAATTGGTACTGCAGGCTTCAATTTGGTAAACTTATAATGTAATCCATGATCTCTTAAAAGCTATGTTAGGTATCTTGGTATCTTATGTTATCTTATGTTAGGTATCTTAGGTATCTATAAACCCCAGTTCAAATACTACAGAACTTCCCAGAGTTGCCTTCCAACCTAATCTTTTCTCTTGGCTATGGTATTTTTTATATTAAAAAAAAAAAAAATATATATATATATTTGAAAAATCTTTAAAGACAGATAAAATCCTCGTTTTCTCTAGTACATGTGTTTGGAATGCCCTTCAGCACTTTCCTATTTGTATAGTTTTAAGTACTGTGTGTATTTCACCAAATAGACATTTGGAAAAAATGGGATTGTAAGACAATTTAAGATTGTATTTTTAAACATGTGCTTATCCATTTGCAATATTCATTTTTGCAGCAATATCCAGGTGTGAACCAGCTGTCCTCTTCCTTAGGAGGTCTAAGTCTACAGCATTCTCAGCAGCCAGAAAGCTTGAGACCGGTAAACCTTACACAAGATAGGAATATTTTGCCCGTTTCTTCAGTTCCAGCCCCTGTGCCTAACTTGAACTCTGATCTGAGGAAATTAAACTGCAGTCCAGAGTAAGTGTACTGTGTCTGTACCAGCACATTACCTTTTTCTTTGGTAATTATTTAAAGCCTTAGATAAATGTGTTAGTAACACCTGGCTCTAAATCATGGTGATGATTAAACTGGGGGAGAAGGAAGGATCTTGCATTCTTCAGGAGTTGTTTTTTAAATTTCTTATAGACATGGTTTCTGTTCTTTGGAAATGACAGATTCTTAGAGCATGTAATTTCTTAAATTTCAAAGTACCTTAGACTCAGATGTTAACACATTGTTTTTAACCTTTTTCGAAATATGACTTGTAACTTGTTTTTATTTCTTTCAGCTCATTTCGATGTACGTTGACAAATATTCCACAGACACAAGCTTTGTTAAATAAAGCTAAGCTTCCTTTGGGTTTGTTGCTACATCCCTTCAGAGACTTAACGGTAAGGCAACTTACTGTTTGAATGTGTGTTTAATATATTTATTTGTCCTATTGATTCAGACACAGCAAAAAATTATGAAATAAAAGTCCAAAATTTATTAGAAGTAGCAAGAAGCTTCTTGGAGGTTAAGAAGGGAGAGAGGAGAAATATTCTAATTGCTGCTGCGTTGAAATCTATAATGGGAAAACCTTTGGACAGAGCCTTCAAAACTTCTTATTACTTGTGTGAATGTCAAGTAATGGAGTCTAGACTCCCTTTTGGAAAGGGGGTGCTAATGTGAATTTATTGCTGGAGTGATAAATACTATCAGTAGAAATTAAGTCTATTAAAAGATTGAAGCTGTGTTCACAACAGTTCAGCAACACCTCATCATATTATTTCTATTAATATAGAAAGGTGAGTAACTGTTTGGCATGACTGTTCTTTATGTTACATTTTGTTTGTTTTTTATGTGAAAAGTTTACTGTAAAGCATCTTTAGTCACCCGAAGTAGTCCTGTCTTGTGTAATATCCTTTACTAACCATGATATTTTAACTATATAACTTTTGTCCTTACCTGCTCAGTTTCCCTTTAATGCAGCCAACGGATTATATTCTTTATATAAAAGTTCTTGTCTTTCATTAGTGAGATTAGATTTAAGACAAAAAATACRAAATATTATTCCTTCCAGTTTCATATGTGAAGATTTTTTTAAGTGGACATCATTATTACTCKGTATGAAAATAAGCTATTAAGATGATATAGAGACTTTTTAAATGCAGGTATTCCAGTCAGTACTGCAAAATGATGTTCTCTGGCTACTGTTGTTACAGCTTTCTATTTTCTTTTTAGCAATTACCAGTAATAACATCGAGCACAATAGTAAGATGCAGGTCCTGCAGGACGTATATCAACCCGTTTGTTTCTTTCATTGATCAAAGGAGGTGGAAGTGCAATCTGTGCTATAGAGTTAATGATGGTAAGTGCTCTTTGAAGAGAAGATTCTTGTATTTATATAATCTCTCCCAAGTATTGGGAAGTATTCCAAGTATCATATCAGTCCATGCAATATTCTAACAGGGCTAGGATGACAGTAGTCTTATGATGTAGAGATTTTTAAAAACACCTTAAGGTAGAAGCATTATGGTTTCTGAAGTAAAAGGTCATTTTGCAACCTTCAAGGAGACTGAGATTTGATCACTTTGTCCTGATGACTTGTGTAATGAAATCAACTTGCTCAATTGACTGTTTTTGAAATAGACAAAATAAAAAAAAATAAAATTAAAAAAAAATAAAAAAAAACCCCAGGAATTACTGTCTGCAGTCCAGGCCACAGGTTATGGTAAAGAATCCAGATTGGATTGTACTTGTGGTAAAATGCTTTATTTCTCTTGCTGTCTCTCAGGTGGTGTCTTTGAAATTGAGCCTCTTTTATTTCCAATTACTTAACTTTCATGGTACTTGGGATACTTGAAATGTTCCTTGATTATTACATATCCTTAATATAAGAGTTTTCTCTTGTTATGATAATTGAAATACATCTGCTTTAGTTTGCTTGCTCTTGCTGTATTGGTTTTTGCGGGTGTTAAATATATACATTTTAAAAACATACTTGTTTTCTAGTTCCTGAAGAGTTTATGTATAATCCTCTGACACGATCTTATGGAGAGCCTCATAAACGTCCAGAGGTCCAAAATTCTACAGTAGAATTCATCGCTTCCTCAGATTATATGGTAAAAATGTTTTTGTAGGACCTTTCAAAACCATTCCATGTTAATAGAGAGTTTTTTCTTTAAATTATTATCACATGTTGCTTCAGTATTAATTTATGTATGTATTTTCCTACAAAGGTCCTATAATACCAAAGCTTAATTCAATTTCATATTTTGAGTTTAGGGAAACATATTTCCAGAAGCTTGTCTGTGGAAATGCAGTTGCAGTGTGTGCAGTGCTCATCACAATGTAACATTGCCTAATATTTCCTGAGTCTGACACACTGTGATTTCTGGGCTTCTCCCTCTTTCTCGCAGAGATTGGGAAAGAACATTACAATAATCATGGCATTAATTTGGGATCAAACCTCTGTTTAGGATCATATCTATCACAATTGCTAAATACGAGTCAAGCTGCTCTTGATAGTCTTGTGATAGTCTTGTATTCATCCAAGAAGAATAATAAAGACAGGACTAGAAATAGGTCCTGCCCACAATGACACATAAACATCAGCAAGTAGAAAAAYGTACTATTGTAATTGGAAAAACTGTAGTATTAGGCCTTATGAATAATTATAGCTTGAATATCCTGGGGAAAAGGATGCACATGGATTCTTCTAAAGGAGACTATAAAGGATTGCACTGTCTATAGTCTGAGAGAACAGTGCTGTTTTGAAGAGTAAGTTTCATCAATGTCTCACGTTTGAATTGATGGAAGGAGGGACTAGAATGTGCAGTTTCTGTTCAGAGATATAACGCAGTGCTTACTGCAAATGGAACTTGTGGTTAAATCTAGCCATGTGACTGTGTTAGATGGTTATAAAATAGCATTTGATTGCACAATGTATACATTACATTTTTCTAGGTAAAGCCTTTTCACTTTTTAAGGACTAATCACTTTTAACATTTCTTTAAGTATGATTTTTAAATCTCTTCTTTATTTTGTAGCTTCGTCCTCCTCAGCCTGCAGTGTATTTATTTGTTTTCGATGTGTCTCACAATGCAGTGGAAGCTGGATATTTGACAATAGTTTGCCAGGCACTGTTGGAGAACCTAGACAAGTAAGAATATAAGTAACATTTTCAAATTAGCTAAATGTTAAATGTGATTATGAACAATACTAACAGACTGCAGTGCTGTTGACTGAAAGAGATTCTGCAGTGCAAATTACCTAAGGAAATAATGTAGCTGTGTAGCTCAAGTCATTTGGATAATGAGAAATGACTTCTGTTTCTGTGATTGGGGATCTGAAAAGAGCTGTATTTCGTACTAACATACAACAACATATTGATTGTTTAAACATCTGTAAAGCTTTTAAGATCAACAAAAATAAACTGGCCAATTCTCGTGTGCTGAAACAGCTGAGGTGCTGGGTCTTGATGTGTCTTAATCACTCATAGAAGATGGCCACATTGAACTGCAGTTTTAGGTTGGCATTTTCATAGATTGTAGTTAGCTAAATTTCCTCGAGCTCTGGTTGGTATGTGCASTTTTGCCTTGCAGCAACACCTGTTGGCATCTCTGCTGCTTTCTGAGGGAGRGCTGGCAGACTTCACTGTGCTCATGTTGGTTTGAAAATAAATCTGCATCCTGTGGAGCCTCTCTCTTAAACGTTTTGCATGAATGTTGTTAGGAAGTTGAAAATTTTCCGATAACATTCACCAGCAAGTACTGCAAAAGTTCGCCCTTTTGTTTTAGTCTGGGTTCAGGGCTGTGTTATCATTTAGTCTWTGTGCTCTCAGAAACATACAAATTTAATTTCAAGAAGATTTCATTTGTATCTGGGTAGTAAAGCAATTCCTACCTCTTTTTCTTTTGTTCAAAACTTTCCAGCATTTGCTGATGTCTTATGTTTGACTTAGGAATTCCCATTTTCTTTTTTCCTCTTTATTTTAATGCCATGCATAGAATGTAGTCCGTATAAGAAAGTATACTGTATGCTGCAGACATTGATTCATTGATTTTCTCTGTTGCGTTTTAGCATTATAAGTTTTTTACCACTGTGTTAGTAAAATAAATAAATAAGATCTTTTTTTCTTTATGAAAGAAAAAATATGTACTGCTTCAGATCAAGATCTTAGAGATAAATGTAAGGATATTAGTGGGCACTTATCTGTAATATCTAGAGTCTTGTAAGTCTTAAACTATATAATTATCTCTTCAGAAAATATTTAAGAAATAGTGTTTGTATTTACAAATTCAGGTCTTCCTCCTTTTATGCTCTACCCACATTCCCTTCACCTCTGTTTGCTTGAACGAGGTTTCTGCTAATGTCAGCGGGAGTTGTGTATGCATACGTGTCTTACGAGAGAGAAATGAAATTTATTAAGTTAAATTAATAGTTGATTCTCCTCTTTTATGCTTCAGGCTGCCTGGAGATTCAAGAACAAGAATAGGGTTCGTAACATTTGACAGCACTGTTCAGTTTTATAACTTGCAGGAAGGTTTATCTCAGCCTCAAATGCTAATTGTCTCGGATATTGATGGTAAGTCACAGGAAAATGGAAACTAAATTTCTGAGAAGCTTTTCAAGATCCATCCTGTTTCTTCCCCCCCCCTCTCCCCTCCGCCCTGAGTAAAGATTAGGAACTCTTTATTATTTTGATATTATGTCCAAATTCCGAAAAGGAAATACTTTATTTAGACATAATCTGAATATTTTATGCTAGCACAAAATAAGTGCTAGCATAATATTTTTGTGCTAGCATAAATATTTTGTACTAGCACAAAATAAGTAGTGTTTAAAAAGTGAAAATATTTTACTATGAATAAAGCAAGCTTGTATAAGTTTTATTTTTTATGATGTGTCACAATGTAGACTGAAATTTTTTATTTGAAAGTGTTTTTTTCTCATTTAAAAAAATACTGTTTTCCCTTTTCCCACAGATGTTTTCCTGCCTACCCCAGATAGTTTACTTGTAAATCTCCATGAAAGCAAAGAGGTATGACAGCTCAAAAATGTATTAGTAAATTTAAACATACGAATATTCAAGGCACTGCTTTCCTTAAAATTTTGAGCTCAAGTTTATTTTCATAATGTGCAATTCCAATGCTGCTGTTTTTAATTTAAAAAGTATTCTACACTGGTTTTAATGCATTTTTTTTTTAATGCTGATGTCTTGTGTGGCTAAGCTGAAATATTCAGTGTCAATTGTACACTTAGGACAACACAGGTCTTTACTAATAGAAATACCTAAACTTTGCAAAAATCTCAGAAACACCTTTCCATCTCTTTTTTTGCAGCTGATAAAAGATCTTTTGAATGCATTACCAAATATGTTCACCAATACAAGAGAAACACACAGTGCACTGGGCCCCGCACTTCAGGCTGCATTTAAACTGATGTCTCCAACAGGTGGTCGGATATCTGTCTTTCAGACTCAGTTACCTTCTTTGGGTGCAGGGCTCCTGCATTCGAGAGAAGATCCCAATCAAAGATCAAGCACAAAGGTAGTAAAATTGAATTGTTCATTTCAGAGATTAGGAGTCGGCAATATCTTTTGACAGCCCAGTTCTGCAGACCATCTCTTGACTTTTGTGCACTTAAAATGTTCATTAAAAATATTTTAACCGTCAGATTATGCATATAAGATCATTATATACACATAGCTTGTCTTGACAAGCCCTAGAAATTGCAAAAATTTCTGATTCTCTTTGTATCAACCTGGGCTTTGAACTAAGGTGTATGTGTGTGTATTAAGCTATGGACCTGAAATAGGAATATTATTGTATATATGGTATTGTAATATGCAACAGTCAACATTTTATATTTTGTACTTGAATGTTTATTTGTATGAGAACATAAACTTCTTTAAGAGGTTTATAATGCTTGTAAATGAGAACAAGTTTTAGTATAAAGAAAATATATCTGCAGGTGTTTTGAAATGCCCAGGAAGTTTAAAAGAATTGTTTTAAAGAAACTCTTGTCTGTGATACTTTGCCATTCATGCCATAAAGTCTTAAGCAAACATAATCTTTCTTTTAACTTTTCTCCTGTGTATCTTTTTTTTACCAAAGGTGGTTCAACATCTTGGTCCAGCAACAGATTTTTATAAGAAGTTGGCATTAGACTGTTCAGGCCAGCAGACTGCTGTGGATTTATTTCTCTTAAGTTCACAATATTCTGATCTAGCTTCTCTTGGTAAGGACTTTTTGTCTTTCTTGGGGAACATGCTGGTTGAGGAGTTCTTCTATTATCAGGCTTTTTTTTTTTTTTTTTTTTTTCCCCCTCCATATGTACAGCTAATGCTGCAAAGGATTTGACTTAGTAGCTAAAAGCAGCGAGGAACAGGACTATTGTGTCGATGATACCGAAGGCAGTTTATTTTAAGGCTTTGAAATTTTGAACTAGAAAATACTCTCTCCTCAAAAAAGRGAAACAGTCAGATGGAAAGGAAGAAAAAATTGATCATAAGGGACACAGTGCTCACCTTCCGAGCTTTTGAYATCAAACCACGATTTACCTCTGCATCCAGAAATCGGTTATTTCTGTATGCATGTCTGTTTGTTGCCAGAGGTAGCACATGGTATTAAGAACCTTATTCAAGTAAGTGTGCATGTGAACAATTAGAAACTATGAATAACTTAGCACTGTCTTAGTGATGGGAGTCAGGGACACACATCCTTATCTATAGATGTAGGTTTTGTCAGGAGAAAGATGAAGGTAGATGGAACCTGAACCAAGCTGGACAGGTGCTATTTAAATTATTTAATTAAATTATTCCTAATCTCATGCAATTGTGATTATTTTCTTCTATACAGTGAAATTTAAAAAAAAAAAAAAAAAAAAGCCTGAATATCATTTGAGGGTTTTTCTGATTAAACCGATCATGAAATAACAGTAGTGACTGTATTCTGTTTTTTATAAATAAATGTTGATTTTGTCTCTTAACCATGTTTGTTTTCTTTTTTTTTTTTTCTCCCCCCCCACAGCTTGCATGTCCAAGTATTCTGCTGGATGCATCTATTATTACCCATCTTTTCATCATAGCCATAATCCTGCTCAGGCTGAGAAGTTGCAGAAAGATCTGAAAAGATACCTTACAAGGAAGATTGGGTTTGAGGCAGTTATGCGAATACGATGTACAAAAGGTATACTGTAAATACTTCTGCCAAGAAAGATTGAAATTTGATGTAAACATGCTGTTTTACTTGAAATGTACTTAGTTGTTCACAATGATGCATTTCAAGTTCAAGTTACTTTCARTGAAAATTTAAGATACTTGCCTTCTTCACATTAATAAATGGCATTAGCATTTGCCTTTGCATATTTGAGACTTTCCTTTACACTAGCACCAAATGATTTTAGCTAAATGGAGATATGTAATTTAAGGACATCACTTAGTTTTAGAAATTGAATATGAATTTGTACAGGATGATGGTGAAACATCCCATGATTCTTGTACCAATTGATTCTCCTTTCTATTTAGGATAACTGTGCCTTCTGTTAATAGGAGCTTTTTGCACTGTTTTAACCTTCCTGTGTGTAAATGATTTCTTTTGCTTGTAGGTCTTTCAATACACACTTTTCATGGGAATTTCTTTGTACGATCGACTGATCTGTTGTCACTTGCCAATGTCAATCCTGATGCTGGATTTGCAGTACAAATGTCCATTGAAGAAAGTCTGAGTGATACGTCTCTGGTTTGTTTTCAAACAGCACTTCTGTATACATCTAGCAAAGGTGAATACAATCAAACAAATTCACCATTGTTGTTCTTTGTTAGCTTGTTTTAACAGTAATGTTTGTGCGGTTAGTTCCATGATATCTAATCCTTAAGCTAATTTGGTCAAAATCAGCCTATTTGAAACTGAATCACATAGTTTAATCTTTATAGTCTATTTTGATAGGAAAATATCTCCATCTTAAGTGAAGTAGTCCTGCTGAAGCATCTTTAATGGCATGCTGTTACTGTAAGAAATGACATGTTTAGCACCTCATGCGCTCAAAATCATACCCACTTCATTATGTTGGTAGATTTGAGTTGGTTGCTGATACGCTGCTAGGTGTAAATTTCAGCAGCTGTTCTGTGTTGTAGAGGATGCCCTACATGGGTAATATATGGAATTTTGGGATGGAAATATATATACTTCTTAAAATAGTCAGCTTATGAATACAGAACATTCAGCACTTAAAAATATTAAGAGTCAAAAGATGGTCTGGATGGACAGATGATGGAGCTGGTGTTACTGCAGTTCAATGGCTGCTGTGTTTTACACAGTAAATGCCTTGTGGGTGAGAGCAGATAGAGATGCAACAGTTGTATGTCCCTTCCTCTTGAGGCAGCTTTCACAGAGACTTCTACTTGTTTTTACTAGGTGAGCGGCGAATTCGAGTGCACACGCTTTGCTTGCCCGTAGTCAGTTCCCTGGCCGATGTATATGCAGGAGCAGATGTGCAAGCTGTTGTATGCCTCTTAGCAAACATGGGTGAGTACAGAAATAGAAAATTTGAATATATTTTCATACATCCTTAATTTCATTAAGAGTTTAAACAAAGCAATGAATGAGGAAAGTTGGAACATACTGAAGACTTTGAGCAAAGGAGATGATGAAATTGAAGCCATATTATAACTATTTACTGAAATATCCTTTAGCTTGAATACTTCAGTCTTTTAAAKGAGCTTTTTAATATTGTTTCTTAGAGGTTTTTAAAAGGAGGAGTCTTTTTTTATAAAGTGGGCAAGATCAAAACTCTTGCTCATCAACACCACTGTGATTGGTACCTCCAATTTCTGCCTTTCACTTAAAGGGCATGAATCAATTGAGTGAGCTGCTGGAGACAGACAAAGTACATCTGGCGGCAGTCTCTGAAATATGCATAAACTCTCTAGGCTTCTTTACCTCTCACTGCTAGGCTGAYGTTGCTTATTCATCCGGTACTTTTGTGCTGCTGCCCTTGTGTGTCAGGTGCAGCTGTTTCCTAGGTTGGTCTCTGCCATTGTATCTGTACAGCTCTCTGCACAGCATTTTTCTACATGCCTTTTAATATGTTAAAATTCAAATAGTACCTCTAAGAATAAGCTCAGAAGGCAACTCTGGAGGTCATCCAATCCAACCTCCCTTTCCTTGAGTACATTGAATAGGGCAGTGTTTCAACAGCTTTTGAATTATCTCCAGAGAAGGAGATTCCCCAGCCTCACTGAATAATCTGTTCCAGGCGTTMGTCACCCTCAAAGGGGAGAGGAAAGGGGAGGGAAAAAGAAAAAAGTTTTTCCTTCCATTCAGATGGAGACTGAAGCAATACAGTCATCTGAAGGCATAGTTTTGTGTCGTATATTAAATTTGCATTCACTCCAGTAGGTGGCTTCCTSCAACCAGATTCCAGCTCTTTGCCAGCAAAGGAAAATGAAATTGTACTGTGTGATTATGCTATTGAAGCAGCAGAAGTAATTTCTTCCTAGAGAAAAAAAAAAAGAAAAAGAAAAATTACTGAAAATATGTGTCTTAGAGGCAGAACAACAGATGAGTTTTCAAAATAGTTAATTCATGTTTTAAACATGAACTGCATTTTGTTTCTCATATAYGTACTACAGTTTTAAACAAACAAAATCTCCAAGAATGAGAACTATAGAACAAAATCTATCATGCTGTATTTTTAAAGCAGAATAAAAATGAGTTTCATGGAGGAAAATCATCCTGCTTACTTATATGCATGTGCGCACACACACACASCATCTACAATTATGTTTATAAAATCCTAAGACATCACTCCAGGGTACGCCTAATATTTTAAAATTGCTGTCCATGAATGAAGTCATCTTTAGTARTTTCTTATATCCTTCTCATCCAACAGCTGTGGATCGTTCAGTTTCATCTAGTCTTGCAGATGCAAGAGATGCCTTAGTTAATGCTGTGGTGGACTCCTTGTCAGCATACATGTCAACTGCCTCAAATCTGCAGCAATCCACGCTGGTAGCACCAAATTCCCTCAAGCTGTTTCCATTGTATGTTTTGGCTCTGCTCAAGCAGGTATGTGGAATCTTGTGGGGTTCTTTTTTGATATTTTATCCACAGTTGCTGCGTTTTGAGTAGTTTTTCAGCTCTAGGTCAAGCTATTAATTCACTGTTACTGTCAGCTGTTTTCTAAAATTGAGAACTGGGTTGTCTTTTGTGTGCAAGTCTTTGAGATTCAACAGAGATGGTGAGTTCAACTTATGTGACATGACTAGGCTTTTGTTTTTCTTGATTTTTTTGATCATTGATGTTTTGTTTTACTTTGTTTTACAATGTAAATTGGAAGAAAATTATTGTAACRACATTTCTTAAATTTTTGCAACTAAGGAGAGCCCTTAGAAATACAATGAAATCTATTACAGATACTAAAATGGCATAGTTTACATAAAAGTAGTTACTGCTGTTAATTTTTGAATATCTTTGGTTTTTATATTGCCAGAAGTTATACTTAGGCACAAAAGAACAACTTGGTGCAGGATTTCATCAGCAATAAAACTCAAATTATTTTTAGAGTTTTCATGTGTAAGACTTAGGTGTTCTGTGCATTTATTTTATTATAAAGAATATCTTTGAAGTTACCTAAATATCTAAAGAAACCAAAATGAGAATGTATACAATAGCCAACAATAAGAAGATTTCTATGCTTAGCTTTGTAGAAAGTTTACAATTTGATATATTGGATTCCTTGGATGAGAACAGGGTGCCTTCTCCATTTCTAGCAGTGACTGTTTACCAAGTGCTTCTAAAGRAGGTCTTGAAAAATCCAGTAGGAAGGAGAGTTACAAAACAAATTCTATCTCATAACCTAGTTTCTGCCATAAAGCATGGAGCTATTTCCTTTGCTGTTAATTGTTGGGTATATAAATCTGCACTTAAACTTATTGTCTTAAGACAATAAGTCTCACAGACCCATAAGAGGTATCAAGAATACAAGTAAGACATGTGAGCACAGACCAGTACAGAAGGTTTCACATACAGTAGAGAACCATTATTTCCTCTATCCTTCTGCTTCATCGATAAGGAGGAAGACTGAATTATATTWTAAAATATGTTGTATCGAAGTTGTACTACATTAGGACATTTTTGTCTAATAAAAATATTTTATAATACCAATAAAACTTCATTTTTGCTTGACATTTTAAAGAAATATGAAACATAGTGTTTAGATCTGACCTAAAATGTGGCCTTGATTTGAGTAACAATGTTCTTCTGTTGCAGAAAGCGTTTAGAACTGGCACTAGCACACGCTTGGATGATCGTGTGTATGCCATGTGCCAGATGAAGAGCCAGCCTCTCGTTCACCTTATGAAAATGATCCATCCCAACCTGTACAGGATAGACAAGCTGATACATGAGGTAATGGATGAAGCTCTTTTAAGAACTTTAAAAAAAACAAATGAAAGAAATAGAAAAGGACTGTTTGCTGAATCTAATGTTGTGCTGTAGCAATTTATTGAAAAGTTAATGTAACTTAACGTGGACATTTTCCATAAATTAAAGTCAAGAAAATCACTTCAGGTTTGTAGTTGCTGTTATAATACTGCAGTATAAGAAAACAATACTTTTTSTTCACCTTGTTTCAGTGACTTTTCCATATTCATATTTTTATTATACAGTAGAGAAAATGGTATGCATTGTCTAATGATAATGGTGTGGATGAAATAAGAATGTTTTTGCAGTGCAAGCCRATTTAAAAATTGTCATTTCTGTAGAAAATTCTATGAGAATACCAAAAACTTCTGTTTAAARATCACACAATTTTCTTTTAACACTGGATTCTCATGAAAACTGACTATAGTGGACAAGTAGATGACTTGTATTGTTACGTGTAGGYCCCAATGAACTTTTAATCTGTGGCCTTATAGGATATATTTAGTGGGTCAGGTTTTTTGGACTCTGAGTATATATCTTCAATCYGTTTAATTATATACTAAATTCCTTAACTGCTTTTTCTCTATCCTATTTTACAATTTTCTAATGGATATGCAGCCTATTTTCCCATTGTATGAGGAAGCAGTCCTGTCATAAGACAAATAATACAAGTTTTATAGGTATATTTTTATTATCTCTGGTACAGACAGGCTTGACATAGACTTCCAGCTGAATACAGTTTTAGAATTAATTTGGCTATAYGAGAATCCTCAAAAGCTACTGGAGTATAATTTTTTTCTAATTTTTCTAATGATAATTTTATCATAACTGCTTAAGATAAAATTACTGAATTGGGGTTTGTTTGTATAAAGAGAATTACTGGTTTTTACAGACTGCAATACATGTAAACGACAAGGTTGTTCCTCAACCACCTCTTCAGAAGTTGTCTGCAGAGAAGTTGACAAGAGAAGGAGCTTTTCTTATGGATTGTGGTTCAGTAAGTTGTTGGTTTTACACCTTCCTCTTTGTAAACTGATGTGTGCTAGATGCTTAAAACCAGTCAGCTCTCAAAGTTAATAGCGGAGTGAGTCAATATTCCCGGTAACCGAAGAGTAGCTCATGTTCCAGTGAAAATCTCTCATTTCAATCAGAGGAACGACTGTAATTGAGGTTGCACRTTAAACCTTCAAAGGTTCATTTTTCATGTTAGACTCATTGGAATGGACAGGTAGTTCATGTCAAGATATTTTTTTTGAAATTATGGATTTCGTTTTCCAAAACCTTTTTTAATGTCATGCTGTTATAAGTACTAGAGTTTGTCTAGTTCTCATTTATGCATGGGTCTCTTCAGTTATGCTCATTATATAAACGCTTTTATAACTTGTAGTTCATGCAAGCTAAGAGTTGCAAGAATAAAGGAATTGTGAGAAGAGAATAAAATCTGTAGTTAGAACTTAAAGTGGTAGTAGAAGTGACCCTAAAACACACTTAAGAGGATAAAACATTATGGTACTCTAGTGGCAGTCTGAAAAGGAGTGTTTGAAAGCTACTGTGAGTTTAAGGGCTAAGCWTAACTGTCAAAACTAGTTTCTGTCTCCAGATATCAGAAATAATAGCTTTAATATGTGCTAAGAATTGCTTCTTTTCTGTAACTTTAGAGTGGGCAGCCAGTGTGTGGTAATTGGCAGTCGTGTGATTTGATAAAAATTTAGTTTTCTGTTTTAGGGGGTGCTATCGGAAGGCAGAGTGTTAACTGTTTCAATAGAGAAGAGTTGTGGATCCTTATTTCAGTATTTGCATTTCAGCAATAACTTTTGTTTTCATCCCACTCCAGATATTGCCAATGTATTAAAGTCAATCTGCAAGTAGTGAATAGAGAGGTGTATGTAAACTGCACCTGGAGCTRTTGGGTAATTCATTTGCATAAAAGGTCTATTCTGGTAGGATTCCAATTACATCATCACAGGTTTCTCTCTCAAAATGTATGCAAGGCCTCTGCTAAAACTGATTCTGATATCTTACAGGTATTTTATATTTGGATTGGGAAAAACTGTGATAACAACTTCATCAAAGATGTCCTTGGTTACCCAAACTATGCATCGGTACCGCAGAAAATGGTGAGCATTTAATGAGCTCTGCTGTATAGTRCTTACATCTGGATTCTGTATTTAATCTGTTTTTTTCTGCAATTTCATTTTTTAATTATGTAACTGAGTTTGGTATATTTTGTTASGTACATTCTATTTTCTTGCCAAACTCACAGCCCTATCTAGCTGTGAAAAAAGAAGAGTGTAAATATTCATTGAATGCCCCCTGAAAGTAGTCTCATTACTGCTGTATTAACTCATTTTGGAAATGCTTTGGGACTCMTGAGAATAAAATGAAATTTTCTAGCTAATTTTTGGATTTGTGCTCATCACAAGTAAATAACTTGATTGTTTTATTTATATGGTGGTATTCAAGGGAAGTTTTCCTCTTCTGTGACTACTTACTTGAAAATATGAAGAAGTGGCAATTAAGGAAGGACCCTGTTAAGATACTCTGGAAAAGTTCTTAATTGAATGATTATATTCAGATAGTATTGTAAATGTGTTAGTCACTGTAGAAATACACAGCAAGCTATTTCCTTCTAATGCTTGCGTARTATGAAGGGGAAAAATAAGTGCAAAGCGGCAATTGTGAGAACAGGTGAGAAAGCATTTTCTGAATTAAGAGTATACTATATCCTACAAAATATATATTTCAGAATTGTGTTTCAAGCTGAAGAAAGAGCCTTTTCTATGTGGTAAAAGGTAGGTAAGTTTTTAAACAATTAGGCTGTTTTGTCTTTGGGTCATTCATGGCTATTGGGATCTGTTGTTTCTTCTGAATAACTGTGATAATARAGWGAGTGACTTGATTGAATTCTCTTCAACCAGACACAGCTTCCTGAGGCAGAGGCAATTTCTTCAGAAAGGACACGGTCTTTTATATCCTGGCTTAGAGACAATAGACCTTTAAGTCCAGTTCTTCAAGTAATAAAGTAAGTATTTTTGAGATACTCATATTTGCTGGGAAGTTATATTTATAGTTTCTAATAGACATCAGTGAAAAGTGGGACTGTCCAGCCCAGAAGAAACTGAATAAGGTTCAGCTGATAGGGTGCTGTTGCCTGAAACTGTTTAACCTTCATTATGGTTGTCTTTCAATTTAGTTCAAATTCAATCATTAAYAGTTCTATTGTTTAGGAATTAGTAATGTATTTTATGCTGTTAGGAATAGACTAAAATGGGATATACTTGTGATCAATGAAATTAACTAAGCCCTTTTCTGAATTGCCCTTTAACTTTCTCATATAAATAATTAGGGTATGTTTAATGATTTGTGGATGTTTTAGTTTTGATTATAATCGTTGTTGAGCTCCCCAGGACRGCGGTTAATTTGTGACATACAGTGTTGTTTTGGAGTGTTTTTWAGCCATGACCTGCTAAAAGAAGTGTAAATCAATCCAAACGTTTATACTTGAATTTGCTTCTAATTTTTCTTTAGAGTACTGTTTACTGAAGCTTATGGAGATCACAGTTCTAGATGATATAGTTAGAGAGTATTACTGTCTTACATAAAGAGTAAGTTTAAATATAGGACTAAAATTTTTCTCCAGCTTTTGGCATTGTGGCTGCTGCTTGACTTGCAAGTAGTGCTGAAAGACTGCTGGGCTTCCCTGCCAGCTGTACTGAAGCAGTATGCAGAACAGTATGAGRGCAGTAAATTTTGGGTGCTATATCTTTGACTTTGTATCTTTATACTTCTGTTCTCAAATAAGAAAAAAATGTGACTGCAGAGAGGCAAACTTTCCATGTATATGTTTTTGACTGTGTATGGTTTGTCTGGTGTTTGTTTGTTTTTGTTTTTTTTCCAGATTTAAGTGTAACCTGTTCTGTACTGTCAGCATAATTGCTAACTCCTAGAACAAAATAATTGTTTCCATTTTTGTGTGTCTACAAGCTACTTTAAATGATACTTCCTCACTTCTTATATTGATTCACATGATTCACTTCTTACAACATGCTCTACTTCTTAAAAAGACATTTTTTGACAATATGATATAGATATTAACTGGATTATTTGTCTTGTATCTTTGAGCTGAATTGTCTTCAACTGATAATTAGAACTCTGCCTCTGTTTAAATTTACAGAGGCTTTTTGTCAGTGTTTAGCTGAAATATCTTCCTCTCTTCTTTCAGAGATGAGAATCCTGCCAAAACAGATTTTTATCAACATTTAATTGAAGATCGGACAGAAGCAGCTTTCTCTTACTATGAATTCTTACTTCATATTCAACAGCAGATTTGTAAGTGAAGGAGGAATATACTAAAAGAAAAATCCTGACCTCGGATAGAAGCATTTGCTGAGAGAAGTACATGGGAAGTTACAAAAGTGTGTGTTCATTCTTCACAATATGCAGTGACCAACACTGTTTCAGAGGCTTTACAGCTAAGGGAAAAGTGYACATTTCCTGTGGAATCTTGCAGATTTGCTTCCGCCCAAAGTGATAGGAGTAATGAAGCTGTTTCACTAGTAAACTTTAAATGGTTTATACACGTTTCCAGTAGTGCGGCGATATGGTGCTCTGTTTATTGCAAGCTGGTGAATTTATGTAGCTATGTGGGATGATATTTCTTAATGAAATGTACAATTAGAGAAAAGCCTTTTTTTCTTACATTTATTATGGTAGCCCTTCCACATTCAAACTGTCAGAGATGTAAACAGGGCAGTGCTGTATGTTGGTTGTTTATATGAATTTCTTTTTAAAATGAATGACTCATATTTACTATTCAACAAATTCCTGGTGAAAGTTGTAGAGTTTCAGTAAAGTACATGAACTGTAGAAATAAAATATATAATGTACATAAGTGTTACATTTGTAAAGAAAATGTAAAAATGTAACTAAAAAAAGACATAGCCTAATGTGCAGAACTGTTGAGTGCAAAATGATGAATTGTTTTGTCCCAAGTGAAAATACTACCAAAAAAAAAAATCCATGCAGAAATAACACAGCTTCTTGTTTGGTTATTTTTAGGTGAATTTATTTATGATTGGCTTACTAATTAAAATATTTTGCTGCATCATGTGTTTTGTATATTTATGCACATATGTTTTAGTTTTAATGATTTTAACTCCTACTGACCTGAACATTGAAGAGAAYATGTTTACTGCTTTATTTCAGACCTCTGGAAAGGAGGAAAAAAATATTTCATAGTTTGAATTATTAAAATAGCTAAAATTCCTAATATGTTTCTTATGTATAATCCTGAAGGCAACATATCTGTTAACTTTATTTTGCATTTTGTAGTCTACTGTAGTCTTGGTCCAGCTTTCTGTAACTTGTTTTGTTTGGCATTTAGAGTAAGCATGGATATTCACTAAATTGGACACAATGATATCTCTGCTGTGATTTAAAAAAAAAAATTAAAAATTAATTACTTTGCAACAAGGAAAAGCAATGCTTTAAAACCTCAGATTTCAACATGTAATCACACTGCTCTGTCTTTCCAAAAGCTTGTCCTTGCTGATGCTTTTTGTAACTTAGCGGTTTGGGTTTTTGAATAGATTTAACCCAGAATTKAAAACTTGGTAGTGAAGGAGAAGTTGAGGTGTTTTGGTTTTGTTTCTTTAGAGGCACACTAAAAATGATTCAAAAGCATACTCAGTCGTACCTCATAATCTGAATTCTGTCATTTGTTTGGTTTAATCAAGTGTGGCTATAATGAAATAATTAAGTACCAAAAAGTAAATAGTAATTAGTTCTTCCATTTTATTTTCAATGCAGTCTTTAAAATGTTACCATGTCRAAGTTGAGTTTTAACTGCCTCTGAAAATGGCACATGAATTTTCAAGAGAAAATGTACTACTGTAGTTTGCAATTGTTTTAAAAGCTACACCAATTAAATTGTGAATGTGATTGTTTTGCATGTTAGTTACCAGATCACTGCTTGGGGGAAGAAATTACAGTTTAAATTTGTGTCCTGTTCTTAAATAAGTTACCCAAAGATGAATTTGGAGAAACTTGCAGTGATTTAATTTATAATTTAATAAATATCCACAGAGATGCAAGATGCTGAATGTTTTTACATCAGACCAACAAGTTTAACTACTTTCTTCCTCTTRGATAACTTGACATACAGGTAAAAGGTAGGTGCTACTGAAATACAGAATCTTTAAAAGAAAAAAAAAATCGTTTGGAATTGCAAACATAGGAAGAATATGTTGTGATTTTAAATGCTTCAATTTATGCRCTTCTGATTTGTCAGCTTGATTTCAAACATCAGGGAACATGCTGTGCCTTGATTAATGACCACGTGTTGTGTAAAAAGCRTTATTTAAAGTTTTATTCTTCTATATTTTTTGTATATCAGAATTATGAAAAGTATGAGCTATTTGTTTAGTAATATTACAGTGTAGAGAATGTAGTCATGCCTTTTAAAACATATCTACTTTCTGATGAAACTTTGTTTTAAATTTTAGAGGACTAATCTTATATAAAAGTATTTTGAAGTTGAAGTTTAGGATGGATAATATCTATTAATTTTAGTGGTTTGAATAGCAGAATATCCATAGGCATTGCGATAATTTCCAAAAGGAGATTTTTGTACCTGTAATGGTTTTGGTCAAATTAAGATACCAGAAAAAATACACCAAAAGATGAGCCCATGGCAAGARATGGGCAGTAAAGCTCAGTAAGTATCTACTTGCTGAGTAATACCTTGGACAAGAGGTAAGGGATCCAGCGTTCATATCTTTTTTTAAAGAAACTGTTGAACTGTGCAAATAGATCTATACACATTTTGGGGAGTGAAATATTTCCCGGGTGCTTTCAACTCTGTATAGTGTTTCAACTCTTCCAACTCATGCTTGTTTTTTAGAAGTTCAAGATGTGCTGGGGAAAATGTTTACCAGCACTGGTTAAGCAGGTCTTTTGGGGATCAAATTCAATTCTCAGCATTTTTACTGACTTTGATCATCCCTTTCTATTTCCTAGTTTGAAAGGCAGCATCTTGTATGTGTTACCAGTAAACTAATGTGTGAGTTCTTGTTTGAGAAATGATAATCCAAGAAGCACTTTCAATGGTAAGAGACATTATGTAGTTCCCAGAAAGTTTTTATTAAACCTGATTTGCCTATTACATTATCCAACACTGGCATTTAGTTTATTCATCATGATATTGAACTTCATAACTGTTGAGAAGAGATGACCAGGTCCGATGGCTTTGTTTGGCTTTGTTTTCTGTGTATTTTGCAAAGTGTTGCAAATGTTTTTTGGTCATTACTGCTTTTTAAAAGCCAAAAATAATTGTTAATAATCCTGTGATATTCCACTAAGTCAAGGTTTCCTTAGTACTTGTAAATGCTAGATTACTGTTTTGGAGGGTTTTTCTAACTGCCAAAATGTGTTGCAGTCTTATTGGCAGTTTTTAAATAACCGTAGGCATGAGTTAATGATTTTAACTTTTAATTCAAAGGGTGTAGTAGAAAAAACCTATTAGAGACTAGATAATCTTGAGATTGAGTAATGCTTTTTTTGATATGGTTGCATAGAAATATAAATGCTCTGCAAGAAGGAAAAAAAAGATTTATTAATCTGTCTGCCTTTATTTCTCWATTCCTAGAACTAAAAAGAACAGTTGTCTTAGAAGCCTTGCTTGCTTTCAATCACATTGACTTTCTCTCATTGTATTCACATGCAGTTATCTAGAAAGAGAGGTTATGACTATTACAACAGTATTTTGTATTTCTTTGGGAGCTACTAATGATTTTTTATTTCCTGCAAAACCCMAAAGTATCCTATTTTAAGTTTTAAGCTGAAAAATAGATTTAAAATTACTATTAGATGGGAGCTTATTRCCAGAACAACAGAAATTTCAATAACCATGTTGCAGGTGAGTTTTTAATTTATTCTCCAATCATTCTTATTGTTTTCCACTTGTAGGCCCTCTGCTATCTTTTTTCTTTACAGTAAATTAATAAATATCAAATAATTAATGAAAACTAGTAAACATGAAATACTTTTTTCTTATTTTCCTCCTCTGTATTTTCCTGGAGCTCCTAAGTGGAGCACAAATAATACATTTTTTAGAAGGTGCCTAATTGGGAATATCCAACAWGCTCAAAGTTTGAGTAGTTGAACACTCCTACAGAAAATAGGTAGAGGAGACGACAAAATTTCTTAGTCTTTTAAGAATCTGTATGGGGAAGGGAAAGAGCTTTTACTGTGTTCTTCCAAGTGTTTGCCTTCCTAATTTTTCTGTTGTGTATTGTGTAAAGTCCACATGTTTGGTTGAGAGGTGTTGAGAGCACTTCTCCAGAGGTATAAACAGATAAAGATTTTTATCTTGCACCCTTAATCATGTTACCATTAAAAGTGATGGATTAAACAAGGGTGAGAGTGTTTGCAATAAGACAGAAAGATTATTTTTCTTTGCTACTGTTTGACTAGCAAGTAGTATAATATTTATGTTTAGCTATTTGCAGCATGGGTGCACTCTCCCTGTGTGATGCTTTGTGAGATTCTTGAGTGAAATGTTTACTAACAAAAAAATACTTAACCATAAGGAAGAGTTGAAAGTGCTTAACTATTTTAAGTAAGCTTCTATGCTTAGAARATATCTTCTAATTTTCTCTCAACATCTTTTCATTTAACAAATGATTTTATTTTTATGTTAACCGTCACTAGCGGAAAAATAAGAAAATACTATCGAATACTAGGAATACTAAAATACTATTGAAACTCTAGTATTTTTTCTGGATGTCTTCAACAGGGCTGCTGAGCTGATGCATAGGTGCTAAAAGATTAATTCCTTGACTGTTCATCCAGATGTTTGAGTTGTAGCTCTTTTGTTGTGGTATGTCTGTATTTCTAAGTGCCTAAGCTATCTGAATTTCCAGACTGCCCCCTTCCCAAGTATTCAAACTATTGTTTCAAATTATGTTGTTCCCAACAAAAGTATGTATACTTGTTCTCTAATAATAGATTATAATTTCATCCACCAGAGTATTATTTTGAAAGCTTACAGCTTTGGAGAGAAAATGAAATCATGCTTGAAGAAGCACTTTGTGTCATCTCTAACAATGTGAATGAATTGCTTTGTGATGAGGAACAGAGACACTGAGAAAAGCAGCTCTCAAGGGATCCTTCACCTGCCTCATCACTGTCAAACTGCAGCTAGATGGTTGAAGAGCATTGCTGAGCCAGCTGCTCTGGCTTCTTGTCTCTAGAAGTGACCAGTATCAGATGGTTCGGGTGAAATGCAAGAAGGCTGTAGTGTGCAGGATACAGAAGAGAACTGGGGTTGGTTAYCTTGTGTGTGTAAAGATAAGCTAAAACCTTGACGTGTGCGCCTTGTCAGCATTTTTGCTAAGCAGAACGAAGCAGAATATTATTGACCTTGCATTGAATCACTTGTTGCYGTGTTTCACAAACTAATGATGTGTGTATAGTATGATCGTTTCCATATTTCTGAAAGCTACTGAATCTAGAGCTTGYGCTCTAGATTGTGCTGCTATTCTAGAGCTTGTGTTGTGCGTGGAGGAGAGTAGAAGATGGTAAGCAGCTTTCTGTCATTCATTTTTCATATTTTCCTCTTAATTTGTTTTTCTAAGGCAAAAGAATTTCCAAGGCTTTTCAGACCCATCTGAATATCTGTAGGTTAAACTTTTTGATCATTTTCATCATTCTTGACAGCATTTCTCCTAAGACAGTAATTGAGCTTGGTGCCTGGTGCAATGTATACAAGGTACCACAAGCTATTTTGTGTCAACTAGTTTACATAAAGCTGGTCATCTCCAGCCTTTTCCCTGTTCCATTCTTTTTCATCCTAATCTGTGGTTACAGTGAACTTCATCTGTGGTAATAGCCACATAGGTCTT